CCCAGTAAGCTCATGTTCATCCTTCAAGACTTCTCCCAAACATCTTCTCTATATCCTTCCTGGACATAAATATTTTCTCTTCTGTTTGCTACCAGTACATAGAACAAAAATAAAATTAAAATAGCTACCATGTGCTGTTCGGTGGGCACAAATCTTGAGCCACAGACACAATTATGAAAGAAATGTAACTGTTTCTTTTTAAAAAATCGACAGTTTATGTTTTAAGACCTCATTCAGCCAGGAGACAGAAACTTACTACCAGCCAACTCAGCATCTCCCCCAGCTCCTGGGGTTGCAGCTGAGCTGAGAAGTTTAGGCAGAGTCTAGGGTGTGTGTGTGTGTGTGTGTGTGTGTGTGTGTGTGTGTGTGGTAGGCAGCCTGGGGGAAGTTGCACCATTTGTCTCCATGTCGCCATGGAGACACCATGATGGTGTTTAGTCACCATCCGAGCTGGGATAGTTGTGTCTGCAGCGCCTCAGTCTGTGGGGCACCTGTGACTGCATGGCTTTACCAGATACATCCTGCCTCTCCGGGACCCTCTGGGTTGGGAGGATTGGTGGCAATGGGAGGCTCTCCTGCCTCAGTGCACGGCACAGACATTTCTTTGACTCCTACTCTATGCTGGGTTCCCAGCAACTCTGGGACTGAGCCAGCTCTCTGGACCCTTGCATGGTGTCAGTGCTCACAGACTTTCTGCTTTCAAATCCCTAAGCCTATCTGGAGCTCCCATCTGGCCCCATGTAGGACTCAGAATGGCTCCAGCTTCTAAAGCCCCTTCTCTTCCCTCCTCTGCCTCTCCTTGTCCTTCATTAGCCCTGGAAAACTGTTACGTCTGTTGGGGAGAAAAACTAGCTCTAATTGAGTTTTCTTCCAGATCTTAAGTCTTATGCCTGGATTCCTTTGTTATATGAGTTCTGCTGAGTCATCCCTTCCTTGGTCAATGAATGTTACAGATTAGGAGGAAAAACAGAAGTATGAGGAAATTCAACGGAAGGAATAAGAACAGTTAATATCTGACTATTACTCCTGCCCTCCAGACACACACACACAATGAATAGCTCATATAATCTCTGTAAAAATCTATGGGAGGTATAATTATTCTTATTTTACAGAGGAAAAACTGAGGCATAGTGAGATCAGTTAAATTGCACACGGGCAGCAAGCTCTTGACCACCAACCACACTCTACTTTCCTTATCACATGGTATTGCAATCACTTCTTTAGATGTCTGAGATTTTGAGTTAAATCTTGCACTCCTTGAAGTTGGGGCGAGGTCCCACTCCATCTTGATAGCCCTAAAGCCTGGCACTTAGCAGGTGCCCAGTAGATGGTGTTTGAATTGAAATGGGTCAAGGTGAGTTAAAGAAAGAGAAGGAGGAGGGGTAAAAAGGGCCAATGGGAAAGTTTCCTTATCTTAACCTTTTCTGGAACTTCCTGAATAATATTCTGTCAACGAAAATATAAGTGGAATTGAAAGTTTAGTGGTATTAGCTAAATCATGTCCAGAATTGAACTCTCTTTACATTATAGTGTCAGATTATTCTAACCATAGACATTAATTCCTGTGTCCAGAAAAAAAAAAAAAAGGTGTAACATCATTGGTGGCACAGCAATAACAAGTGGGGCTCCCCTGCAAACAGGGGCAGTGACCAGACCGGCCGACAGTTGTTATCAGCCAATGCAGCCCCCCTGATTTTTTTTAGTTTAAATGCATTTGAATTTTAGACAGCCTACATGACATGTTTCTTCTTAAAAACAATGCCTCCGCTCCAGATAAATCACAGTCCAAATAAATGATGAGCTCAGGATAACATCCGTTCCATTTGTCCTGTCCTGGTGTGGGGATGAAAAACAGCAGCCAGTTATGATGACAGGTGATAGGTCAAATTGCCAAATTTGTTAACATTTTTCCATTTCTGAACCATCCTTAAAGAGAATCACATGTGGGGTCACACCATCCTCACGGGGGTCCAGCAGAGCAACCGTGCCATCTGGACTCATGTTGTCTCCAATAAAGAAGTGGTCGGTTTTGAAATTGGCAAAGATGTGATCGATCTGTTCTGAAGCCCCTGTCATGCAAGGCTTTACTTTTTCTGGTCTCTGTTCTTCAAGTTTCCCTTTGAATGATTTCATGTCATCTTTGATGTGTTCCTGTAGGCTTCTTTTGTGAAGCTGGTTTCCATGACTGATGAGGTCCTGGTAGATGCCCTACAACTTTTTTTTTACCTACTAGACATTGTCATCCAAGATGGTGTTTTATAAATCGGATAACTTTTGGAATTTTACACCCTTCTATTACATTTTTGTCTGAAAGCTTTTTTATTCCACATTACAGAAATCCCTCTGATAACAAATATCATTGACCCCCACAGCACTGAACATGTCCTTGTCTCCTGTGCTTCCATGAGGACAAAAGCTTGCTGACTGCCTTCACCCTCTGAAGCTATCCCTTGGAGTTTTCTTCTGCTAGTTTTGTTGTTGTTTTCTTCTTCCTGTTTGCTTCTGTTAGTCCGATAAAGTTTTGACGCAGGCTGCTAAACCTGGCCCACAAAGCCATCTGCACTGCAATTGAGAGCTGTACTAACATGTGCAGTGGCCCAAAGAGTGAGTGAACTTTCACCAACCTAGTCCTGCCCCCTTTTCCTTGGGTTCTGACCTCTGTAAGAGTCCAAGTAGATTTCTGGATAACAGCCAGGTTGCCTAACGGCCTTTCACCCGGGAACTTAATCCTGCGGCCACAAAGAACAATAGAAAACATAGAGGTGCTCTTGTCCATATGAGCCAGTTGCCAGAAACAGCAAATGCTTTTCATAAGGAGAGAGGGTGAGGAAGGCGTGAGCTCAGAGGACCAGGGGCTCGCTGGGCCATTTATGGGAAAGGACCGTGATGGAGGATAAAAGATGACTGAAAAGACTAAATGCATCAGGTCCTCAAATAATGTCATTTTGTTATATCTTTAATGAGATGCTACAGGAACTGAATTCTTGTTTATATCCATAAGCCTACAGTCAAATTGGTTTTGTTAAATGTTGTTTTGCTTAAAGTCACAAAACCTATTGATGATGTTAAGTAAAGACCTACCCTGAAAAAAAATGAAAGAAATTATAGTGTTTTCCCCCTTTATGTTACAATCACCACTTCATGAAATAAATTATTTCTCAGGTTTGGCATGATCTTAAATGTCTTTTCTTACTTTAAATTTCTGTTTTAACATTTTATTTACTAGTATGGTTGTTCACTTATTTTTTACATTTTGCTGTGAGTTGTTCAAAAAGTTAAAGTACTTATTAAAGTGAATATTACATTAGAAGTTATGTAATGTTCACATTAAAACCAAATGCCCACTTAAAAAAGGAAGCACACTATATGTCTTGCCCCTCGCTCACGGAGAGAGATGTTCGCATAATTTTGTATTTCTGTGGAGATTTCTTCATTTCCATTCTCACCTTTGATCCCACAAGACAGGCTGTTTTCCTTTCATCTACAAAAATCTGATGATGCTTCTAAGCTACAGGTCCAAGTAAAAAGTAATTCCCAGAGTCTGTGGTACAATGGCAGCCCAATGATGGGTTTCACTGGTGTAATACAGGCTGTGTGTGAGCTTAGATTTGAACCCAACAAGTGTTTTCAATCATCAGTTTGAAGTGATGCTTCACACAGGAATAGGGGGATCTGGTCCACCCTTATGAGAGCTCACCTGACCCTGAGCGCTGAGGAAACAAGATGAAGCAGCAGCAGGACCGAGGTCTTACCGTCTCTGCTTCCAGAGCTCTGCCTGGTCCTCCGCGAAGACTTATTCCCTCCACAGTGTGAGAGAGCGCACAGTGCCTTTCTAAACTGTAAGGGCTGACGGCTTCTTTAAAGTGTCAGTTTTGCACATCACCTGCCTTCCCCCAACACTGGATTCCCACTAGGACAGTCAACATTAGCCTCCCTGCTTCCCATGCCTAACAACCATGTGTGCAGGAACCCCACTAACTGTGTCACAGGTGTGTGTATGGGTTTGTATGTGCTTGTGATACCGTTGAAAATAAAATACAATTTTAAGGGGGATAATACTGTACGGGGTGGGGTAGAGCCTGCCCATGAAAATATCAGTAAAGAGGTTTATTTAGTGGTTGCACAGCCAAGTAAAGACAAGTGGGATCAACTGTAGGGGAACTGAGTTTTCTTATTCCTACCTAATTAGGCATTCTCTTTTTTATGTGTCTATATGGATATTTATTGCCTTAAATATGGAACCTGAGATTTTTAACAACAGAGATTCTACAGGATTAAGAAGAAATAAAGCCACTTTCAAATCTTCTAGTCATTTTAATTTCTGCAGCTGACATATGAAAGCCATTAAGACAGGTACTCTCTGAGGGGGAAAAAAAAATTCTTACCTCCATTGAAAGAGGCAGGAAGAGCCTTTGAAGAAAGATGAAATGAAAATAGCACCTCACCTTCCTTAAGAATAACTGGGCACCCTGATCAGAAATGCAAAACAGATATAACTGTGTCTAAGACCCCAAAGTTTCCAAAACTCAATCCCGTATCTCCCCAAGGATCACCGTCGCGACCCCTGAACCAATCACCTGTCTCTCGTCTAGAGATGATGCTCAAGGAAACCAAAGGGCTGGAAGGAAGGTTTCAACAGTTTCACCCGGTCAGCGGCGACCCCAGTCTCTCCCGGTGACTCCCACTGGAAAGAGGACATAAGGAGAAAAGGGATGGCTATTTTCCTTGTAATGTGAGCTTTTTTTTTTTTTTTTTTTTTTTTTTTGCTTTTTTTTAAACTGTGAACTTTTTACCTTGCTTCATTCATGCTTCATTTGATCAATTGCTAACTGTAGAGCCCCCGAAAAGCGAGCGCGGGCTTCTTAAAGTTGGTGTTTTGCTTTTTTGGATTCCTCCCCATTTCGGAAGCGGCGGGGGAAGAGTTAGGCACCTTTGTGACTGCGACCCGGTGAGGAAGGGACTGGCCGTGTGTGCGTCGGGACGGGGAGGACCCGCGGGGAGCCGGCCGCCTCCCGCCCGGACTCGGTTTTCAAACCTCGGGGAGCCCTCCCTGCCATTGGCATGCAAATACCGGCCGGAGCGCGGGCCAATCGCCGAGGCTGCCTGTGGGATTACCTGGTGGCGAGCGCCGAGCGCGCGGCCCCGCCGGTGCGCCCCCGCGGCGGGGAGGCGTGGCCGTCGGCGCCCCGCACCCCCCGGGTCTCCGGAGCCCGGATTCAGGCCGCCGAGCTGCGCGCCCCGCGCCCGCCGTAGCCGCAGCCGCTGGAGCCCGGCGCGGAGGCTCTGGGCGCGGCCGAGCCCCCCATTGTTGAGCGCCGCCGAGCCCCGCCGGCCATGCCCCGCGCCGCCTCCACCGCGCGCCGGCGAGGTTTGAACTTGGCGTCGGCCTGGAGTCCCGCGAGCGGCGGTGGTGAGTGCGGGGCGGGGTCCGCTTCCCGGGGCCGGCGGCTGGTGCGGCCGGCCGGGGCACACTGCTGCCTTGGAGGGAGGGAGGGTGTCCCGCCGCCTGCTTTCTAAAAGGGTTTCTATTTCGGTCCCGGCGGCGACTTGGAGACCGGGTCTGGGAGGATGGGTGGCCGGCTCGGCGCGGGGCAGGTGGCGCGCTCCGCTCCGAGGGTCTCCGGACGCTCTGGGCCTTGGGTTTTTACTAGGGAGGCAGAAACTGCTGCGCCAAGAAGAACGTAATTGCCGATTATTGACAGCAAGAACACTTTTCAGAAGAAATGACCTGTGAAATGTTTTAATTTTGATAAATGGCTGCCCACGAGGGCTCCCACTGAGTTCAGAACGACCTAACTTTCTTCATTGTACTGGATTCGTTTCTGTAGGAAAGGCCCCAAATGTGCTGGGAAGGGCGTGCCTGCCCCTTCCCCTCCCCCCCCTTCCCCCCTCACTTGTTGCAGATCTTAAAGCAGATTTTTTAAAGGTGTTTTTCATGGTCATGTAGGGACACTTAAATCATGGAAATGAAATTATACCGGACACGTGCCTGGCTGAAGGATGAGAGCTTATGAAATTTCAGTCCGTGGAGCATCCTGTGGGGGCCGGGGCGGGTAGGGTGTGTCGGTCCCTTTCTCTCGTGTACTTTAGCATTACTGGTTTGTTGTTTGCGTTCAGATCGTAGTGCGGTGGTGGTGCACTTTTGGACTGGCAGCCAGTGGTTGCCCTCATGCATGAAATCTCCATGGAGAGATGGCAGTGAGATACCAGGTGCAACAGGAAATATTTTTCTATTTCTGTTGTTAAGATGGACAGGCTAGTTAAGTGATCATTTTCAATCAAAAGCATGATGGTCAGACCAATGGCTAAATCTTCCCCCAAATCATTTCACAAGAAGTTGTTTTGCATTTTAATTAATTCTGATGGCAATTTTTGTCTTTTAAGATATCTTTTTTCCCCCGGATGGTAAAAGGTAGAATATACAGAAATGAGAAAGAAGTAAAGTCATCCTTAACAATAACATTTATGTTCTGTTTGCTAAGGCCTCGTTTTACACAGAAGCCCAGGCATTTGAAAACGTTGAGCTAGAGACATTTTTTTTTTAAATTGCGAACAAACCTGGCCAGGCACTAAATCTAGTCATTGACAAGGAAGTAAATTTGTACTTTAAAAAAATGTTATAACCAACAATAACTTATTCACATGGAGCAGAATTTATTGTGGCAGTTCCTCTTGAACCAACTCCCCACATCTGTTCCTGACAAATGGTTTCTGTTTGCGTAGCTTGTTTTGTAAATACATCTCTCTACCATGAAAGGCAAAGTGCCCAAGCGAATACATCCTTCTTCCCAGTGCTTGGAGCTAGGCTCATAGAGTTAATATTTTTATTGGTTTCTACATCAGAACTTCCTCACCGTGTGCTTGATAAAACCCTGGAGAAGGTTACCAAGGGATGTTGTAGAGAATTCTCTTCCCTGGAGATTTTGAGAATAGAATAAACATCCATCTGTCTAGGATGACTTCAGTGCAGTTCTGCCTGGATAAAGGAAGACTAGGTCCCCTATCAGGATCCAAATGGAGGAATCCTAAACTTATTTCAGTCCTCCATAACCTGGGACCAAAGAAAACAATTGCCCATAGCATCTGAGTCCAGTCCTGTTTTGATTTATGTAAAACAAATATTCCTTTTATATTTTTGGTAAGAAAGTTAAAATTACCCTTAGGACTTGTCCAACCTTTTCTGTTGATGAATAGAATATCAGCAATGATTCCGTTACCTTCTAAGAAGTTATAGGTTAAATACAGTGTAAGTTCTGTGATTTAAAGTAAATGAATGAATTGATTCATGGGGATTAAAAGTTCTGCCTCAATTGGGCAGGAAGGGGTGTAGCATGAAAAACCTCTGAGCTAAGGATGTTGAATGCCTGAGACCTTTCTCTACTTTTCACATTAACATTTTACTTTCTCCTCAAAATGTATTCTTGACTTTTAATTTTCAGTGTAGAAGCCATGTGGCACTTTTACCAAAACCAAGTGTCTCTGTAACTTCTGTGGGAGGCTGTTTGTTCCCTGGGCTCCAGCAGTGCTGCTGTGTTGCTGGCTTCATTCAGAAGGTCAGCGTTTCATGGCTTGCTGCTTCCTCTGCCCTCCTGTTCGCCAGAAGTATCCTGTAATTCTAACCACTGTGTGACCTCAATTGCAGTGACACCTACCTCCCTTTCCATAGTGTCACTTGATCGGGAGCAGCCACCCCTCTTTCTTCCTGCAGGATCACTGGGAGGGGTTCACTCTCTAGGAAAGGTCCTGTCGAAAAGAAAGTGGGAAGCCACGCGTCTCCTGGCTGGACAGTTTGTCACCTTGCTTGAATGAGTGAGCAGTGCCTCCACTTCACCCCCTCCAGCTTGTCATATGTTTCCGTGCATGCCAAGCATATTTCCTTTTGCTATAGTAACGCCTAAAGAAGGAACAGGAATACAGTATGAACAAAATGGTCATTTCATTTGTTCAGCAAACATTTACTCTGTAGGAGGCAGCCCAGGAACTGGAAATGGGACCTTTGCCCTCAGGGAACTTGTTATAGAAGAGGGGAAATCAAACATGTTAATAAGCTAGGCCAGTGGTCGGCAAACTCATTAGTCAACAGAGCCAAATATCAACAGTACAACGATTGAAATTTCTTTTGAGAGCCAAATTTTTTAAACTTAAACTGTATAGGTAGGTACGTTGTTATTAACTTAATTAGGGTACTCCTAAGGCTTAGGAAGAGCCACACTCAAGGGGCCAAAGAGCCGCATGTGGCTACCACGGACTAGGGCATTTCTGAGGAAGAGAGTACAGAGTTAAGAACTTAGGTTTGTTGTAAGTTAAACAGATACCAAACCCATGACCCACCATTTCCACACCTAGATGTTTACCCAAGATAGAGGAAAACAAATGTGCACAAAATGACTTACAAAGAATGTTCATAACAGCCTTATAATTGTCAACAACTGGAAACCTCCCAAGGTTCATCAACAGGAAAATGGATAAACTGTGGTACATCCATACAATGAAATGCTTACTCAGTAATCAAAAGGAATGAACACCTGGATGAATCCCAGAACCATTGTATTAAACTGAAAGAATCTAGAGACAGAAGCAATTCTATTTCTGAAGTACTAGAATGGGCAGAACTAATCTATGACTGCAGATGGTGCTTGCCTCTGGGGGTGGGAGGATTGACTGGAAAGCAGTAAGAAGAGATTTTCTGGAGCTGTGGAAATGTGCTATGTCTTTTTTTTAGTTATGGTTATATAAATACCCACAATGATCAAAAGCCATTGAAACAAACACTTAAGACCTATGCATTTTATTGTATGCAAAGCATAGATACAATTAGAACAGCTTGGGTCCTAGAGATAGACAAGGGTACACATCCCATCTCTGTCTCTAGGTGAATATTAACCTTGGGCAAGTTGTTAAATGCCTCTGAGCCTGAAGCCATTGGACAGCAATAAAACATCGTCATAGGGTTATTGTGAGGATTAAGTTAGATAATGAAAGTGTTCAGCTTAGTCAGAACTCAATAAATGTCAGCTAATCATGCACTGTGATAAATATAATACGTGGTTTCGGTGTTGATGATAAAATGTACTTTTTGTGAAAGCCATCTTATTTAATATTACCAAGGACTTTGAAACATAATCAACTAGAGTCCCTCAGTCTGACCTGCAATTGGGGCCTATGGCGGGGGGGGGGGGGGGGGGGGGTGTCAGCTGGCAGGGGGGAGGGACTGCAGAAGGTTGGCTGGCCAGTTTGCGGTGGGGGGGGGGGAGGCGGCCAGCTGCGGGGAGGGACCCCAGGAGGTTGGCTGGTGGGTTGAGGGGGGCCAGGGGAGGTTGGCTGTGGGAGCATACTGGCAGCTCCTGCATTGAGTGTCTGCCCCCTGGTGGTCAGTGCGCATCATAGCAACTGGTCGACCAGTCATTCCAGCTGTTCCGGTCGTAACTGTTGGTTAGGCTTTTAGATAGATAGATAGATAGATAGATAGATAGATAGATAGATAGATAGATGGATAGATGATAGCCTGAGCATTATGTGTATCTTCTTTTTTAATGGGTCCTTTTTTTGAGGTTGTAGGGAATTTAAATTTATAGTTCTTGCCTACCTGGTCAAAATACCACTGGGGTTTTGCTTTGACAGCACAAGTAAATCCCAAAGAGAAGAAATACCCACCCGGCAAACATTTACTGTGTAGGAGGCAGCCCAGGAAATAGGGAGTTTTTGACGACTGATTTAAGGATACTAGTTGAAGCTGAACTCCCAAACTAGGCTCACATCATCCTCTGTGAACCTAGGTGAAAGGGTTGCATATTATATTTTCTTCCAAAGGTGGAAAACAACTATTGATCTCTGCATCAAACCAGTATTGTGCTTTATAAAAAAAATTATAATTTTGTTTTTATAATTATACAACTTGAATTTTCAGCAAAATACTTTGGACAGAGTGATAAATAAAATACAGGAGTTTACTTAATCTATGAAGCTTCAATTTTTTTCAAATATTTTATTGATTTCAAGAGGAAGGGAAAAGGAGAGAGATATAGAAAGATCAATGATGAAAGAATCATTCATCAGCTGCCTCTTACTCGCCCCACACGGGATCAAGCCAGCAACCCGGGCATGTGCCCTAATCGAGAATCGAAGCATGACCTCCTGATTCATAGGTCGACGCTCAACCACTGAGCCACACCAGCTGGTCAAGCTTCAGTTATTATTTAGTTCAATAGAGTGTTTGCCAAAGATGTTTCCCATACTTTGCCAGCTCCAGCAGAGGCATTTTGTTGTTGTGTTGGTTTAATTCATTCAGTAAACATGAACCATTTACTGAGAACATTTTAATGGCCTCTGGAATTCAGCGATGAATAGGAAGACATTTTACACCGGGGGTCCTCAAACTATGGCCCGCAGGCCACATGCAAATACAAATAT